GCTTTTGCTGTCCCTGGATGGGTCCTTGGAGCCCTGTGCAAGTCAGGGAAGTCTTGGAGGGGCTTATGGCTGGGCCATGGGTGAGCAAGCCTTTAGCACTCAGAAAGGCTGGCTTCCTGCCACAAGGCTAGTCCAGGGTGCCTGAAGCTTTAAGAGCTGGCAGGAGAGAGGAACTACAGAGCTGTGATTAGTATGGATGGAGTGTCCACCCTGGAGGCCTCTTCTTTTGAAAGAGCTCTTTTTGGAAGAGCTCTTTCGGAAAAGGCGTTCTTCCTTGAAGAATGAAGTTTACCAATGTGAGAAAACCCTTGCATTTTCGATTTTCTATCAAAAGAACACAATAGCAGTGTGGGCATAAGTGAAGTTTTTTGGGAAAAATGGCCGTTTTTCTGAAAAAACCCTGCAGTCTAGATGCAACCTCTTACTGTTCATCACCATATGTACAGAAAACTGTATTTTGTTTATCACATATGCTGTTCTCCTGGCCAAGATTATTCAGAGATTATGGCTCAAAGTAGCAATTTGTCCATGAGTTAATGTTGAGTTATAACTTGATATGTAAGTTTTCATTATCATGGACCATCATTAGAGAAATGCTTCAGAAGCATAGCCCATCAACATAAACCTCAGATAAGAAATGTTTTTTAAATCCTCGAGAGTTTGCACATTTTTCAAATAATAACTGCATTATATCTACATCTACCTATGTGATCTAAATTGTATTTAAGAAACTTCTTTACAAAGGAGACTTGTGTTGGAGCAGGATACTGATGGATAGAAAACATCCACTAATTAAATAATTTAAACATGAAAATCCAGTATTAAAATTCATTTCTTTATAAGGTTCTTCTATGATAATTCACTACCCTGAATTAGCATTTGTGCATGCAAATCCACAATGTAGTTTATCTCAGCAGCCTAAATAAGCACAAAACCACGCACACAAGAAAAGACTTTTTGTATTTTCCATTTCCAAAATGCACTTGTGAAGGTTGCTTAAGAAAGATTCAGGATGAAGACCTAGATGCAAATATGGAACTAATTAAGAACTAAACTTGGTGTGAAGGCAACTTATTAGTTGGCTATTTCCACTTGTGAACTGCTTATAAGAAATTCAAATTAAAAATGCTGCCATGGGTCCAAGTGCTATGGAATTTGTTATGTGGTTTCAGGAATATTATGATCCTGTGTTAGAGTTATGTCAAGTTATAACTCAACATTAATTTTCAAGGACAAATTGCTGTTTTGAGTCAGAATCCCTGAATAATCTTACCAGAAAAGCAGCACATATCATAAACAGAATTCAGAGTTTTCTCAACAGGTGGTGATGATCAGTAAGAGAGAAATTAAATAAATCTGATCTATGCAGTGGTGGTATGGATGGGGGACAGTCAAGTGGATGCAGAAATGGAAGGAATAGGGATACCTGCTGACTGGTTTTGTGAGGGAGACTAGGATGGGATTGTATGGGGAACACAAAATGATGTGGAGAGAAGAGGAAAATATTTCAGATTCTTAACAGGGTAGATTAACTGAGATAGTAGGTGTCCCTTCAGAGTGGAGTCAGATGTTATTTAAGAAATGGCAATATTCTAAGGACTAATCCTTTGTTCTCTACGATATTTTGGTTGGTGAATGTACACCAAAACAAAGTTGAAGCAAAGACGGATCTACATGATTAGAGTAACACACAATGGTTTGCATAACAATCTTCCCTAAAGAAGGTAAATTCACATTGGTAGTTATTCTATAAGTGATTAAGAAATTCAGCTGGTGATAGATTGCCCACAGGAAGCAATACATAATATGTCACTATGATCAACAAAAACAGGATTAAAACACTGAAGAGAACTACTGTATATAAAGTAGAGATGCGAACATGTATCCGAGTACATAGTTAAATGATGAGCATGAGCAAGCCGGTGTTTGTGGGGAGCCGCCTGCTCCCCCCCACCACACTGCTGCCTTGTGCATGCTGGCTCCCATGGAGCTGCTTGCCCTCCTTTCCCCTGTGCTGCTGTCTCCCACAGAGGCGGCATCATGGGGAGGGGACAGGTGGGAGCCGGTGTTTGGGGAGAGGCAGCACACTAGGGGGGTAGGGGAGACAGAGGTTCCAGCTTGTGGAGATCCAGCTTAAAAGCCAGCTCCCTGTGAGCACCAGTGCCTGCCTCCCCCACAGTGCGTAAATAACCACATTTTAACATGCCTAATATAAAGCAATTTGATGATCTGGGATTTTAATTTATGGATATTGATTTAGCAATTTTGATTGGGTCCTCTTAACAATATGACTTTATAATTGGTACTGAAATGAAAGTTCTCTCAGTTATCTATCAACAGATGTTTTCATTTTCAGAAAAAATGTGAACAATTTGCATGTGGCTTCCTTTCCTAGGAAGGAGTCTGTATTAGCCTGACTGTCAGACATGTTGAGTATTTGGGATTCTAATTATAAACAAAGGGAACTCAGTTATATTATTTTTCATTTTACACTCACCTGGGGTTCATGATAAGACGACGGAAGAAGTAAGTCCAGGTAATATAATCCATTGCATCCTGCTTGGAAGTAATAGTTCCAGCAGCAATTTCAGCATTCAAGTGATCAGAAAGGCTGGCTTCCTGCCACAAGGCTAGTCCAGGGTGCCTGAAGCTTTAAGAGCTGGCAGGAGAGAGGAACTACAGAGCTGTGATTAGTATGGATGGAGTGTCCACCCTGGAGGCCTCTTCTTTTGAAAGAGCTCTTTTTGGAAGAGCTCTTTCGGAAAAGGCGTTCTTCCTTGAAGAATGAAGTTTACCAATGTGAGAAAACCCTTGCATTTTCGATTTTCTATCAAAAGAACACAATAGCAGTGTGGGCATAAGTGAAGTTTTTTGGGAAAAATGGCCGTTTTTCTGAAAAAACCCTGCAGTCTAGATGCAACCTCTTACTGTTCATCACCATATGTACAGAAAACTGTATTTTGTTTATCACATATGCTGTTCTCCTGGCCAAGATTATTCAGAGATTATGGCTCAAAGTAGCAATTTGTCCATGAGTTAATGTTGAGTTATAACTTGATATGTAAGTTTTCATTATCATGGACCATCATTAGAGAAATGCTTCAGAAGCATAGCCCATCAACATAAACCTCAGATAAGAAATGTTTTTTAAATCCTCGAGAGTTTGCACATTTTTCAAATAATAACTGCATTATATCTACATCTACCTATGTGATCTAAATTGTATTTAAGAAACTTCTTTACAAAGGAGACTTGTGTTGGAGCAGGATACTGATGGATAGAAAACATCCACTAATTAAATAATTTAAACATGAAAATCCAGTATTAAAATTCATTTCTTTATAAGGTTCTTCTATGATAATTCACTACCCTGAATTAGCATTTGTGCATGCAAATCCACAATGTAGTTTATCTCAGCAGCCTAAATAAGCACAAAACCACGCACACAAGAAAAGACTTTTTGTATTTTCCATTTCCAAAATGCACTTGTGAAGGTTGCTTAAGAAAGATTCAGGATGAAGACCTAGATGCAAATATGGAACTAATTAAGAACTAAACTTGGTGTGAAGGCAACTTATTAGTTGGCTATTTCCACTTGTGAACTGCTTATAAGAAATTCAAATTAAAAATGCTGCCATGGGTCCAAGTGCTATGGAATTTGTTATGTGGTTTCAGGAATATTATGATCCTGTGTTAGAGTTATGTCAAGTTATAACTCAACATTAATTTTCAAGGACAAATTGCTGTTTTGAGTCAGAATCCCTGAATAATCTTACCAGAAAAGCAGCACATATCATAAACAGAATTCAGAGTTTTCTCAACAGGTGGTGATGATCAGTAAGAGAGAAATTAAATAAATCTGATCTATGCAGTGGTGGTATGGATGGGGGACAGTCAAGTGGATGCAGAAATGGAAGGAATAGGGATACCTGCTGACTGGTTTTGTGAGGGAGACTAGGATGGGATTGTATGGGGAACACAAAATGATGTGGAGAGAAGAGGAAAATATTTCAGATTCTTAACAGGGTAGATTAACTGAGATAGTAGGTGTCCCTTCAGAGTGGAGTCAGATGTTATTTAAGAAATGGCAATATTCTAAGGACTAATCCTTTGTTCTCTACGATATTTTGGTTGGTGAATGTACACCAAAACAAAGTTGAAGCAAAGACGGATCTACATGATTAGAGTAACACACAATGGTTTGCATAACAATCTTCCCTAAAGAAGGTAAATTCACATTGGTAGTTATTCTATAAGTGATTAAGAAATTCAGCTGGTGATAGATTGCCCACAGGAAGCAATACATAATATGTCACTATGATCAACAAAAACAGGATTAAAACACTGAAGAGAACTACTGTATATAAAGTAGAGATGCGAACATGTATCCGAGTACATAGTTAAATGATGAGCATGAGCAAGCCGGTGTTTGTGGGGAGCCGCCTGCTCCCCCCCACCACACTGCTGCCTTGTGCATGCTGGCTCCCATGGAGCTGCTTGCCCTCCTTTCCCCTGTGCTGCTGTCTCCCACAGAGGCGGCATCATGGGGAGGGGACAGGTGGGAGCCGGTGTTTGGGGAGAGGCAGCACACTAGGGGGGTAGGGGAGACAGAGGTTCCAGCTTGTGGAGATCCAGCTTAAAAGCCAGCTCCCTGTGAGCACCAGTGCCTGCCTCCCCCACAGTGCGTAAATAACCACATTTTAACATGCCTAATATAAAGCAATTTGATGATCTGGGATTTTAATTTATGGATATTGATTTAGCAATTTTGATTGGGTCCTCTTAACAATATGACTTTATAATTGGTACTGAAATGAAAGTTCTCTCAGTTATCTATCAACAGATGTTTTCATTTTCAGAAAAAATGTGAACAATTTGCATGTGGCTTCCTTTCCTAGGAAGGAGTCTGTATTAGCCTGACTGTCAGACATGTTGAGTATTTGGGATTCTAATTATAAACAAAGGGAACTCAGTTATATTATTTTTCATTTTACACTCACCTGGGGTTCATGATAAGACGACGGAAGAAGTAAGTCCAGGTAATATAATCCATTGCATCCTGCTTGGAAGTAATAGTTCCAGCAGCAATTTCAGCATTCAAGTGATCAGAGAGCACTTCCAACAAGCTAAAGGGCATGACACAAAAACGCATCAGTTAACTTTACAACAGATAAATATATGAACATAAGAACAGCCATATTGGGTCAGACCAAAGGTCCATCCATCCCAGTATCCCGTCTGCCAACAGTGGCCAATGCCAGATGCCCCAGAGGGAGTGAACCCAACAGGTAATCAACACATGATCTTTCTCCAGTCATCCATTTCCAAACAAACTGAAGCTAAGGACACCACTCCAACCCATTCTGGTTAACAGCCATTAATTGACCTAACCTCCATGAATCTGTCTAACTCTTTTTTGAACCCTGTTAAAGTCCTAGTCTTCACAACATCCTCTGGCAAGGAGTTCCACAGGTTGATTGCGGTGAGTGAAGAAAAACTTTATTTTGTTTGTTTTAAAACTGTTGCCTATTAATTTCATTTGGTGACACCTACTTCTTATATTGTGGAAATAACTAAATAACTGTTCCCTATTCACTTTTACCACACCAGTCATTATTTTATAGACCTCTATCATATCCCCCTTTATTCTCCTCTTTTCCAATCTGAAAAAGTCCTAGTCTTTTAAATATTTTTAATCTTTCTTCATATGGCACCCATTCATATGAGACCCATTCTCATTCTTTTAACCTTCTCTGAACCTTTTCCAATGTCAATATATCTCTTTTGAGATTCGGCGACCACATCTGTATGCAGTATTCAAGATGTGGTCGTACCATGGTTGGCTATAGAGGCAATAAGATATTATCTGTCTTATTCTCGATCACTTTTTAAATGATACCTAACATTCTGTTCGCATTTTTGACTGCCGCTGTACACTGAGTGGATGTTTTCACAATGACTCCAAGATCTTTCTCCTGAGTAGTTGTAGTCAAATTAGTCCCCATCATATTGTATATATAGTTGGGATTATTTTTTCAAATGTGCATTACTTTACATTTATCAAACTTAAAAATTTCATTTGCCATTTTGTTGCCCAATCACTTAGTTTAGTTTTGAAGCCCTTCATAGTCTGCTTTGGTCTTAACTACTTTGAGCAGTTTAGTATCATCTACAAATTTTGCCACCTCACTGTTTACCCCTTTCACCAGATCGTTTATAAATAAATTGAATAGGACAGACACCTGGACAGACACCTGGTCTCAAAATACTCAATAGTATTTTGAGGAATTGTACATAACCATCACTCACAGGCCTGGGTCTATACAAAGCAAAACCGCCTTTTTAAAAGAGTTTAAAATTTTTAATCTAAATATATTTTCCCCATGGGGGGAAAATGTTCTTGTAATGTCACAAACATTATCAGTTAGAGCAACAATCTAATATTAATGGGATGCAACTTGCGTATACTAATGAGCTATACCTCAATTAGTTGACAGTTACGTCTAAAACACAGTCATCTTAAGTCATATTTCGAAACGAACTGTAGCTAGGGTGGCCAGGTGTCCGGTTTTCTACTGGACAGTCTGGTACTTGCACCGTCTGTCCGGTAGAAAAATTCAGAAAATACCGGACACACGCAATGTCCGGTATTTTGTGAATTTCTGGCTGGGCGCTGGATGGAAGCCTAGTGGGGGCGGGGGAGAGACTGGGAGGCGGAGCGTGACTGGCTTTGGGAGCCCTGTGGTCATGTGTAGAAGCCAGGTGGGGTGGGTGGGGGCAAGTAAAGGGAGCACCTGCTGGGTGCACAGCTGGACAGACCCCAGCTGAGGCCAATGGCTGCCCTCCCCCCCCCACCAGGTCTGCTTCCTGCCCCCCTTCCTCTGTCCCTCCCATCCTTCCCTCCAGCCCCACGGCCCCCGATCCTCCTCCAGCTCTGCTTCCCGCCCCCCTCCCAGCCGGTCTCCCCCCCCTTGCCGGACAAGCGTGTCCGTTTTTTTAGCGGGGTCTACCTGGCAACCCTAACTATAGCTATCCATAATATTATATTGAGACTGCATGTTCACCTGGCTTGTGGGATACTTGCTGTATTGATATATTGTGTGGCAGAGCTCTGGCTGTGCCCCAGGGTTCTGCATTTCATGTGGATAGTGTTCAGCCTTAGTGTGACCCTCTAAACAACCTCTCTTTTTTTTTTTTTTTTTTAAAGAGGTAAGGGTAACAGCCTACTGAGCTATAGTCATCACAGGCTAGTCCATAATATGGGGTGAAACTCTGGGACAGACTCTGTTTTGGCATGAGAAGGATTGTGGGGAACCCAGGCCCACCCACTACTACAGGTTCTGGCCCAGGGACTCTAAGGCAGCAGCAACAAATGGGGTTTGTTCTACTCTCTGTCTGGCAACTACTTTCCTGGACCACTTCCCCAAACGATTTCTCCCAGAATCTTTCCTCTGATACCTGAGCAGCCTATCCTGCTGCTTTCACTGCACTCTGCCTGACTTGAGGTCCCAGCTCTCACTCAGACTCCTCTCACTCTCAGATCTTTGACTCCTTCCTTTCTCCTCATGTGGCACTGAAGTAACAGAAGAAGGAGCCCTTTAAAACCAGTCTGCACTGGTTCTTGTTTGGCCACAGGTGTGCGAATTAGCCAGACTCCCTTGGCTCTGGAAGGTAAGGGTGTTCCAACTGGCCTGACTGTCCAGACTGATTCTGGTTCTAGGCCAGCCCCTGCCAGTTTACCCAGGGAACAGAGACCTACTTAATCTGGGGCTAACATACCTACTTTCAAGTACTATCCTATCACCATCTAGCCTGACCCGGTCACAATTGGCTTAGTTTTATAGTGGCTGGGGGAGA